TCATTTATAAAGACTCTCAACTCAGGTTAGAGGGAAATCAAATGATTATCTGTCCTTTCTAAGTTTTAGAAATGACCTGACATGCTAATTTCAAGTAAGGACTGTAACTTGGTTTCCTGAAGTTTACTTCTCACATACACAGGTCATTCTGCCTTCATTCTGATGTGTCACTGTGCAAACTCCAGACCTGAGTTTGTCTTTCTTCTCCCTGATTTTTCTGTTCTAAGAATTTAGTTATTATAGATTTCCAGAATTCAAAGTTCTAGTAAGACTACTGAGCTGTGCATTTGTTTCCTCTGCATCACAGGCTAAAAGTTATCTCAGGTATTTTCATAATGTACCCCTTTTATGTCCTTTCTCTTTTGACTAAGATCAAACATTTGTTTCCTTTCTCCCAGGGATTTACAACTCTGTTGTCCATGTCTGAAGACAGGACTTTATATTTGTTTTCATTAATTTTTCTAGCTGTTTCTGAACTCATTAATTCTGACTATGTTTTCTCCCTCTAGTTCAGGTAAAACATGTTCATACCTGTAACTTTACTTTTGGTAGTCAGCCTAAAGATTGTTTTTTGTAAATTTTTATTGGATTTTTGTGTACTTCATACAGAACATCTTAGTCAATCTTAATCATCTTTATACCCACTTCCCCTTCTGACACTTGGAAAAAAAACCTCAATTCCCTGTTATGAGTATCAGAGTCCCGCTTAGTAACACCCATTTTTCTTATTGTCTTTCTTCTTAAAGGCTCTGTCTTCCTTTGTCTTTGCTTCACCAATTTCATTTTGCCTTTAGAATTCAGGAGTGTGACTCTGATGTCCTTGGCTATGCCTTCTGTTTATGTCTCACTTGGCCTCTTGAAGCTGCCTGCTGATGTCACTCATCTAATTTGAAAGTTCCTGGTTCCACATTTTCAACTTTCTCCCCCACTCCCTTTTCCAGGCTACTAACTACATGTTAGATCTTGTCTGTGCATTTCACACATTCTCTGTTCATTTTGTTTTGATTTCATGCTGCCCTCTGTGAGTTTCAGCCGGGATTTTTCTCTTGACCTAGCTTCAAATTTACAGATTCCCTCCTTCTATATCTAGCCTTCTAGTAATTAAACCTACAAAATGTGATAATTTTAGATATTGCATTTCTGAGTGTTAAAATGTCAATTAGATTTGATTCCAATTTTCTAGTCTCAGTATCCAAATGTTTTATTTTTTTCTCTTTTCTATTAAGACAGACTGACATGTTCTAGCCCTTATTTATAACTCTATTAAAAGGATTATTCAGTTACTACCCTAGCTTTTTTGAAGATGCCAGGACCATGGATCAACCACCAAGGGCAGCAGCAGGTGTGGAATGGAGCCAGTGTGAGCCTGTAAGATGAGCTGTGTGTGCTGTGAGTGGCACAGCCAGAGAAGTGGAGCTGCTGAAACACTTTAGAGCCCAGATGATCGTGAGTAAATCCCATGACTTGCTTGCAAATCAAGCTATTTGCTCAACTTAGGTTTCCCTTAAGTGTGCCTGATTCCTCCCTTCTGAAATAAGGCAGTACTGTTCTTGTTTTGGATTTTACAGGAGCCCATAGTTAAAAGGCTTTTAAAAGACACTTTGAACCTTTAAAGAACCTGGGTCTTTTTAAAGGATGTGGGACTTTTAGGGTTGTACTCTCTTATGTTGTGACATTGTTAATATCACATCTCGGGGACAAGAATGGTAGTGGTTTAAAAGTGATGTATTTGTGTGTCAAGCTGACAAGGGGTCAATTGTGCTGGATAGCTTTAGTATCATCTTGACATACCTGGGTAGAAGAAGCCTCAACTGGGGAATTGCTTCCATTGAGCTGGCCTGTGGCCATGACTGTGGGGCATTTTCTTGATTGTTGAGTAATGTGGAAAGGCCCAGCCCACTGTGGGTGGTGCCACCACTGGGTAGGTGGTCCTATGCTGTATAAGAAAGCAAATTGAGTACTGGTCAGCTGAGCAAACCAGTAAGCAGCTTTCCTCCATGGCCTGTGCTTCAGCTCCTCCCTCCAGGTTCCTATCCTGAGTTCCTACCTTGGGCTCCCTAAGTGATGAATTGTGATCCAGGAGAAGAAAGTCAAATAAACCCTCTCCTTCACAAGTTGGTATTGTTCAGAGTGCTTTGTCAGAGCAATTGAAGGCAAACTAGAACAGAAATTGATACTCATTTCTGTATTAGTTACTTTTCTGTTGCTGTGATAAAACACTGTTACTAAGGGAACTTAAAGAGGGAAGAGTTTATTTAGTTTAAGAATCCAAAGGAGCAAGAGTCCATCATGGTGGGGAGATATGGCAACAGAGTGGCTGGAGCAGGAGCGGAAAGCAGAGGTTCATATCTTCAAGCAGGCACAGGAAGCAGAGCGCCTGGAGTTCTGGCAAGGCTTAAGAACTCTCTAAGCCTGCCCCCAGAGACATGCTTCCTCCAGCATGGCCTCACACCTTCTAAGACCTCCCAAAACAGCGCCACCAAGTGGAGACAAAATGTCCAAATACTGGGGGACATTCGCATTCAAACCACCACAGGTGGTTTATGATTACATAGCAAGCACTTTACCCATTAAGCAATCTCCCCAGGTTTTTTCTTTTTGTTTTTTTCTAAGAAAGAACCTCTACACTTACAGGTCACAGAATATAGTGGTACAAGGGGTAGAAAGAATACTAATGCATCTCTCAACTATCATCAACAAAGCTTCCTCATGCAGCAGAAGGAAATGAATACAAAAGGCCACAAATGGCTAAAGCGTAGAAAATAAGGGTGTAGGTTCCTGGATAGGACTCCTACATTAAACTTCATCTACTCAGAACTCAGGGACCATTGTGAAAGAGGAAGCAGAAAGATTAAGAGTCAGGGAGGAGGTACATGACCATAAGGAAGCAGAGTCTTACAGGCCAATGGGACCTTACACATATGAACTTACGGTAATGGTGACAGCATGCACAAGACCCATGCAAACCCAGACAAAAACCCAGTGGAGAACTGGGGAAATGGGCAGCAGGCTCCAATCTTAGCCGAAGAACTCCTGGTGGCTGATTACTGCTCGCTGAGGGAGATCGTTCCGCTGATCTTCTTTAAAGGAGAAACTTTAGCAAGGCTGACTAGCTCCAGTGAACCAACTTGCACTGAGGTTTGTGTGGGGACACTAACATGACTTGAAAGGCCTTAACATAAACAAAAGAATGCATGAAATCTGGTGGGGGTAAGCTATGGAGGGTGCAGAAGGGGGAGGGGCATAAGGTGATTAAGATGTTTTGTATAAAAATGCATAAAAATTTAATAAAAAATACATTAAAAAATAAAGAATACAGTTGCTCCTTTATGTGGTCAAAAGTCAACCAACCATTTCAAGTACTAAAAATAATGATCTGGTGATTCTCTGAAAGGACATTATTATTGGCAAAAACTCAGTCAATTTTTCACTCACAGACGTCATTGACAATACATATAAATGTCACCACCCTGCATTATAGTAAACAGTACAGTACCTAAAACACCCATCCTAAACTTCATCTCGTCATTCACTAGCAAGGTGAACTTATCAACTCTGAAAGCCTTAGCTTTCAATTCATAATATTGTTGCAAAGAATGAACAGTATATTTCAAATTCATGAAGTTGTTATATATACAAAACTTGCACGCGCTAAACAAGCACTCTACCACAGAGCTACGTGTCCAGACTCTAATGTATTTTAAAGACTTGTAAACTATAAACATGCTGTAAAATGCTTTACATAATACAAAAACTTCTAAATCTACAGAAAAGCCTTAAACTAAACATAGGAGCAGGGACAAAACTGATTCACAGACAATAGAAAACAGTATGACTCAAGGAAAGAGTAAAATCTGTTTTAAAAGTACCCAAATGAGCATAAGGCAAACAACTTAATATGGGCTTAAACGGCTCCTATTAATTTACAAAGCCCCTGAAGTTATTACTTTACCTCAACACAGTAAATTGTTAATACATATGACAAGAATTTGGAATGGCAAAGTAATATCCTGCATATTATGACAATACAACAATATTTAGTATGTATATTATGAAAGTATAGGAGTATCTAATAAAATTAAGAAGGCTACAGCCAAAAATGGTCGAAATAAAAATTCCAGTTAGATGATCTGCAAGTAGATTTATTTCTACTAATGAGACTTTATATCACATGACTTTACCATGTGTAACTGTATGAGCAAAATGAAGAATCTCTATCACTGACTCATCTTTACCGAAGGAAAAGTGTAAAAGGTAAGGCTTTCCAGAAGCCTTCGAACACAGAGGATTTTTTTTTTTTTTTTTTAAAGAAAAACACAGAAGAAGGTGAAACCGGCATTCTAGGAGTGCAAAGCAAAAAGAACAAGGTGGTTGTCTGTAAAGGGAGGCTGCAGAGTCACCTGAAACAAGCTCAGGCATGGGCCAGCGAGGTGTGGAGGAGGCAATACACTACTACGTAAAGGAAACGAAAAATAAATGAAGAACAGGTACATGTTATAATGCAAAAGAAGAACACCTTGCTGCTGTTAAAATGAAGACAGAACCAGAATCTCTTTTGCAGGCTTCATTCTAATTCTTGTGCCTTTAGTAACTTCACTAAACCATTAGGGTATTAGGACAAAAGCTAAAGGGTCATTTCATTCTCTGTGGAAGGACAGAATTTTAAAAGCCAAGTGTGGGGGCTGGAGAGATGGTTCAGTTCCCAGCACCCACGTGGTAGCTAACTACAGTATCAGGGGATTCTATGCCCTCTTCTGGCCTCTTCAGGTATCACACACATTCAGGCAAAACACTCATACATAAAATTAAACAAAAATAATCTTTTATAAAATGGTAAGTGTGGTTTTATCTTTGTAAATATTATGATTTCATTTTAATTGTGTTATTTGCTAACAACATCTAAAAATATATTAACTAAGTTCCAAATATTATCACTGAAAAGACTTCTATAAAAGCAATTCTCAATATAATTCAGCAATCTTATGAATAAACCAATATACCTTAGCAAGTGATTTTACAATAGGATTCTCCATAATCCCCTTGAGGAAAATTAAGTCTATTTCTTCTGCTCCTGTAGATGAGGGCAGGTCAGTAAGGTTTTCCAAGACTTGCTGCATTGCTGCTGAGATAAAAGCCACATTAAAATTAAATAAGTAAACAAAGCAAGACTTAAACTCTTAGCCATTAGAAAAATCATATTCTTAACAATGAATTATTAAATAGTATGAGTTTCAAGTTAATGTCCCATGAATTAGAATTGATTTTTACATGGCTTTTTTTAAATACACATGTACTTATAACTTTCATTTGCTTTACATTTTTCAAATTTGAAAATACTACCCAAGAAGAAATAAAAAAATTTGAATAGCTTTATATAAACTATACAGATTAATCCTTCTAAAGACAGATGCAAAAATGAAAGACTAGCAAAATGAACCAGAAATCTATGGAAAGATTACCCCAGGAAAGCAATATATGACAGTCACTCAATATAATACACAATAATAACAGAACAAAAGCCACAGACACACGAGGTAGGTATCCGACAAAATCCAAAACCTTTTTCATGTTACAAATTATTCCCAATTCTTTCCCCTCCCCCAAAAAGCATTAACCAAACTAGTAACAGTAAGGAAATTCCTTGCCCAATAAAGGCATCTATAAAAATCTGCAGCCAACAGCATACTTGATGGCAAAAGAGGAATGAATTCCCTGGAAAAACAAGGAACAAGAGAAAGTTTGCTTCTGGTGTTTAATTAACCGGGTAGAAAAGTGATGGAGATTAAAAACACATCCTGGGCTATTTTTCAGATCCTCATACATTGCTCCTGTTTTTGATCACATGAAATACAATTGGAACATTAATGGATTTGCCAGTACCACATGTCCTGGGAAGAGAATCTTGACTAGTATAAAGCTGTCAATCATTCTTAACCAAATTTTACTTTTTTCTTTTCTGTTTTCTTTCTCTTCCCTTTTCTTCTTTCTCATTTCTCCTTTCACCTCTGTCTCCTCTCCCCTCCTCTTCGATCACTCCCTGCCCTCTCCCTCCTCTCTCCTGGCTGGCCTGGAACTCACTAGGCAGACCAGGTTGGCCTTGATCTTGCTGTGATCTTTCTGCCTGTGTCCAGAGTACTGCAACTACAGGCCTATGCTACTGTGCCTGGTTTCACATTTGGTGAATTTCTAACAAAGTGTAATACATAGTTCTTAGCTATATTACCCTAACAACACATGAAAAGATAAGAGGAAGTGTGGGACGTTTTAACAAAGGATAACAATAATTTGGTGTAGTTCCAATTTACCAAGTGAGGGATTCTACACTTCTTCAGCAATGTTACAGACAAAGAGAACTGGAGCTATTTCTTACAGATGTCGCTCCTGCTGTTTTCTTAAGACAGAAATAGTTCTTTGTTTTCTCACCATCAAAGTCCTTCCTTCTCTAAACTTCCATTAGAGTACTTTTATGATTTAAAACATCAAAAAACTAAAAAGAAGAGTGATAAGAACGCTACAAAATATTAAAGCATGAAATAAATCAGACCTGGGTAACCACAGGAGTACTTTAGTGTAAGAAACTTGCCCATGAAATAATGCTCTGTGTGGGAGCCCTAAGAAGTCAGCTTGGACATCAGAGAAGCAAGGTGCCCCCAGTTTACTCAAATTCCAGGAAGAAAGTCTGCAAATTCTACTCCTCCTCATGGTCCTTGAAGGAGAGACCTTTTAGTCAGCACAGAAATGAGATCTTCCTCTGAGTAAGAAAAAGCTAGTACTTAACCTAGCCCTCCAATTACAAGTATGAGCAAACAATTAGCAAACACTTAGGAAACCCAATTCATGATTGAGAGGAATCAAATTCAACAAGCAGAAGTACTAGCCTCCAAAGAAACGAGAAAAAAAGGAAAGAGAGCAAGAGACAGCGAGGGACAAAAATTGAGATCATTAATGTATAGGAAAGTGCAGCTGAAAGGGGCACTTCAAAAGGGCAGAGGCTGAGGATGCTGCTCAGAGAATGCCTGAACGCTTGTCTAGCTTGCATTTATAGGTCCTGGGTTTGATTCGTAACATCCCTTCTCACCCTTAAACAAGAGAGAAAGAGACGGAGAAAAAATATGAGGAACAAAAACTGTGAATCAAGTACAAGTGTCTAAGGAGTCAAAGTGGACTAACTAAGGAAAGGGGGAAGGTCAAGAATAGACAGGGGAGCAATAACAGATACATGTGCAAAAGCTTGAAAAAATTAAACAAAAATATTACTCTTAGAAAAAATAAAAGCAGGAAAAACCAAACTTCACAAAATAATGGGGAATCTAGAAATACAAAGAAGGAATGAATAAAGGAGACATAGAAGTCAATCAGTCAGATTACAATAAGCCAGTAACAGTGGGCCATTTCAAAAGAGAAATAAAAAGAAACAAATACTCTACTAGCCGGATGAGGGAGAGACAAAACACAAACACGGGGAGTAACAAACAGGAGAAATTTACTGCAGGTATAGAGATGATTACAAGGAAGATACAATCAACAATTTTATTTTGAAATCTAGTTAAGCAGATGATTAAGATTTTTAGGTAAACTTCAAGGATCAAGGTTTAGAAGAAAGGTAGAAAATGGAAACAGATCACAGTAGAAGAAATTTCAAGTTTTTCAAAGGTCCATTCCTTTAAAAATACATGAGGCCTGGGTAGAAGAATAAATTCTATGAAGCATTTAAGGCAGAAATTCTCATTTTTAAAAACGAAGCAGAAGACTCCAATCTCAAATCTGATGGAATATGCTACGAAGAGAAGAAGGTTATTTTGGCTCACAGTTTCTTAAGTTTTCATACATAACTGATTGCCCAGTTGCTTCAGATCTGTGAAAGCATACCACGGCCAAAGCCCATGACAGGACGGAGCTGTTTACCTCATAGCCAGGATGAGAAAGAGGAAGAGACCAGGGCTCCACAACTCCTTTTGAGTATGTGCATGCTTCCAACAAAATCTCCCATGAAGCCCCACCTTTAAAGATTTCATCACCTCTCAACAGCACCATGGGCTGGGAACCAAGCCCTCAACACATAAATCTTGGGGGACATTCCAGATCCAAACTACAGCAGTGACCCATAAGGAAGTAATTACAATATAAAATTTAAGTCTTATAAACCTTTTAATACATTGCTGGAGTCCATCTACACCAGTCTTTGGAGCTTTTAACTCCACAATCCCTCAGTCCTCCCGGCTTTAATCAAACCCTCTATTTACACCACTCCTGTAACTGCCTTCTCAGGCCTACTTCATACTCAGTATTCGGGAGCAAAATTTCAACCTCACTGGTTACCCCAGTTAAGAAATATATATTCTCAATATATGTTTAGAGTGCTCTAGAATTCTCACAAGCCCATATAGTTAATAGCGTATCTGTTCAATACATAATTTCATCTCTAATTTCTGTTCAAAGTGCAGAAATCATATGTCTTCCTCCAACCTAAATCCCCAACAACTAGGATACAGTTTAGTAGATCTTAAGTTCTTGAAATGTTTTCAGTGACAAAATTGTAGCATTTCGATGTACTTAACAATAGTTTTCAAATTATATGCTTGTTTATAAATAGAATCATAGGGGATAGAGAGATGGCTCAGGAGTTAAGAACACTAGCTGCTCTTGTAGCAGATCCAGGTTCAGTTCCCAGCACTCACGTGATAGCTAGCAATCCTCTGTAACTCCAGTTCCAGGGAATCTGCTACTCTCTTCTGGCTCCTGTGGGCATTGCACGACACAGGTGCACTTACACATGCAGGCAAAACACTTATATACATAAAATTAAAATAAACACAAAAAAATTTTAAAATAAATAGAACTATAATATCCAAAAGCCACCAAATACAGTATACTTCACATAACAGTCATTTTAAGCTTATCAACTTCCCATGAATTGTTTTACAAGGCATAAAAATAGAAATATGTTTAAATGGTTAGTTTGTTAAAAATGGCAGTTTTACAGTAAAAATTTTACTGATAAGTATACTAAGTTCTTTATAACATGTAAAGCAAATTTAATAAAAGGAATGCTATTTAACCACCTATATTCTTTTCTAGAAGTGTCAAAAGAATTGTTTTACAGTGTTTCTGTTCAGTTTTAGAACTTAACTGAATGAACTATTCTCTTTTGGGTTTTTTTTTTTCTTTTTTCTTTTGGTCTTTTTGAGACAGGGTCTCCCTGTAGCCCCAGCTGTCCTAGAACTCACTATGTAGACCAGGCTGGCCTTGAACTCACAGAGATCCGGGTGCTGGGATTACAGGTGTGTGCCACCAAGCCCCGCTTGAACTATTCTTAATATTAAATTAGGACTATATCCTATTTTAATATTTAAAATCCTTTTGCTATCAAATTTGATAGCATGTCCTTCATATCCATTCTTATGTTAAGTTACTTCTGCTTATATTTTAAAAATAAAAGTATATCTGATCTTTAATGCCTTATTTACAAAATCCATGAAATACCTTGTAAAAATTTCATTCTGTATTTAGAAAGTTTAAAGGGTAATTTTAAAGAAAGTACCTAAAAGTCATTTAGATCACTTTTATATGCTTGTAATAGAGCAGAAAGACTCTTTTTTAAAATATAAGTCCAAGAAATGATCTACCAAAGCAAACCTACTGAAATTTAGATATTTTCTGAAGGTCAAATTTTGACATAAGATTGATTTGATCATGATAGCTAAGTTCACAAAATATTAGTTGTCAATAAAAAGAAAACCAATAGGCTATAAAATGACAATATGCTGTCAAGACTGTAGCTCTCAAATGAATACCTTGAGAGTCTAATTTAGTTATACTGAACGAACTAGAAAAAGTAGAAGTTTGAATGTACACAGTATATTTAACCATTATTTATTCAGGGCTTTATGGGTGCCTAGCACATGGCTAGATGAAAAGAGAGACACTATCTCCCCTCTAAAATAACAGAGGCAGGCAGATCTCTGTGAGTTCAAGGTCAGCCTGGTCTACATAGTGAGTTCCACGACAGCTGGGGCTACAGGGAGACCCTGTCTCAAAAAGACCAAATTTAATAAATAAACAAACAAATAAATAAATAATTCCATTTATTCACATAGACCAACATGTGTAAACACACTC